GGATGAATTTGACTTGTCATCAATCTAATTAAGAAGTATGAAGTGTTAGAATTGGAATTAGAACACATTGAAAATTTGGTATGATTTTTGAATCTCATATGGAAGATAGGATTTTGAGGTTTAAGATGAAATAAATGAATATAGATTGGTTTAAGTATGTGTACTAGAGTTAAGAATGAAAAGGGGATGATATATGAAGTGTTTGAGAGGAAATGAAGTAATTTTCGGGTTGAAAATATGATTTCTGGGCAAGGGGAATCGGTACCCATTCAAGGGGAACCGATACCCCTTCAAACGAACAAAATTTCCAGAATGTCATGAGGGAATTGATACCCTCTTAGTAGGGAACCGATTCCCCCTAAAGGAAAAATGGGAATATTGGTTTAATAAGTTCGTTTAAGTTGCTAGTATCCAATTACAAGGTGTAGGTATCTAATAATTGCCTCAAAATGTACATTTATGTAGATTCTGCGCGTAAAGCAATTCCGGAACATTTGGCAAGTAAGATCGATCAAGGGAAGATAAGAGATTGGAATGGACTAGTGAGGCAAGGTGAGTGCATACTAGTGATATGTAGTGTTTAATGGAAATAAGACTTGCGATGAGTCTATTTCATAGAGTAATATGCATGAAGTCATGGACATGATTATGTGTGGTTATAATTATATGTGATTATCTGTATTACATTGATTGTATGTATGCATGACTAAAGATAATGATATGCTTTGTATATGCTATATGATGTATGTAAGACTTTAATATGTAATCATGGAAGAACATGAAATAAGTTATATGATAGAGTCATAAGAAATGAAATGAACATGAGAGAATAAGATAATCAAGTATAAGTTATATGATATGGTATAAGTGATTATACGAGAAATGTTAGAAGACTCTAAGAGAATAGTATGAATTCGAAGGCATAAATAAGGATACATAAGTAATATAGGGAAGATTGATAAATTAAAGGAAACTATGGTTTATGTATTATAGTGAAGAGCTACAAAGTTTTATTAAAGAGTATTGTGGAAGTCATGAGAAATTGAACTAAATAAATAGATGGTTTATGTGAGTAGAAAAGGAAAATGATATAAAATAAATGGAAATTATTTATAAGATAGCATGAGACTAATTGAACATGTAATATAAACTTTATAAAGGAATACTTGGGTAAAATCATTATATGATACAATTATAGAGTATTACTATACAAATTATATTAAAATATGATATATGAGAATATGAGTAAGTTTATAGGATATTGATAGGACATATAAGAATATTTAAATGTATGCTGATATGAAAAAGGGAATACAAAGAAATGGAGCATAAGGTAGATAATATGATATCAGTTATTATATATCTATATGATATATGTCATCAGGTAATATGAAAGGACTCTGAAAATTGATATAAGCTACGTGAAAGTGTTCTAGGTGTTTCTATATGTTATATGAAGTATATGATCTTATGTGAACAAGATATGATAAGTATGTTTACATGAATAAATGTGATTGGGTGAGAAATGATAGAAATTATATGAAAACATGATATATGTGACGTGTGATTGGGTGAGAAATGATAGAAATTATATGAAAACATGATATATGTGACGTGTGATTTATATGGAAATGATCTACGTGTAAGTGAACTATGTGACTATGTGATAATATGAAAAGAAGCTATGTGATACGTGATATGTGAAAGTGAATTACAAGTTTATGTGAATATTTGAAATGAAATAAATGATAACGCCCATGTTATGTATCATGAGAGCTAGGGGTATAGTTGGCATGCCAAGAGTCGAGGGTCTACGCGGTCCTTCGAGACATATGTATATTCTTTGGAACATGTGTGAAGTCTTGAAAGACACATACTTGATCCCTAGTATATGTATATGATTCTTAAGGAATAATATGTGGTCCTTATGGACATTATTATATGGCACTACGGTGCAATTCTACGCGGTCCTTCGGGATATATATATATTATGTGGAACATGTGTGAAGTCTTGAAAGACACATACTTGATCCCTAGTATATGTATATGATTCTTAAGGAATAATATGTGGTCCTTATGGACATTATTATATGGCACTACGGTGCAATTCTACGCGGCACTTCGGTGCAATTATACGAGTTGTGGTGACAGCATTAGTGCACAACCTCTATAGACTCACATATCGATAGTTCTCACATATGTACATGGGCTAATCCAGAGATATGAACAAATATATGTTAGTGGTATGATAAATGTTATAGAAATGATATGATATTGTGTATGTATAGTGTTTGATTGAAAAGGTTAACCATAAAAGTATGTGATTACATGATAAACTGTTAATGATGAATTATGTGTATGTATGTATTTACTGTAATTAATCTGATATGATTTTATATGATACGAAGAATGCATGGAATTGGTATAACATGATAGAACAGAACATGCATGTATTGATATATGTTATAAAGTGCATTATAAGTTGTTATGCCTCACTAAGTCTTCGACTTAGCGTGTGATTGTTTCACACGTAGGTTTCGAGAATAGTAAGTAGTAATGCGGAGCAAGACATGTCAGTTTTCCTTACCAAATGTCAGATCAGAAAATATAGGTACTGTATATAGAGTGTAGTTGGCATGTAGTCTAAAGATATAAATTGTATGAACTCTGATATATATTTTGTAAACGTTTTGAATAAGTTAAATGTTATCAAAGTTTTTAAATTACTCACTATTTTATACGAATAAATGTTTGAAAAGTCAATGTGACACTTCGGACTCGTATCCGGATCGGAAACGGGTTGGGGGTGTTACAATGGAGATATCAAGGGATAAGAAATTGGGGAGGCTTTGCTTGTCTCAGAAAGAATATCTGAGGAAGGTACTAAAACGTTTTGGCATAAATGAGATGTCAAAACCAGTTAGTACGCCTCTTGCTCCTCATTTCAAGCTCGGTGCATCCATGTCACCTAAGGATGATGCAGAATGGGAATACATGTCAAAGGTTCCGTATGCAAGTGCTGTTGGTAGCTTGATGTATGCAATGGTGTGTACGAGACCCAATATTTCACAGGCAATTGGGGTTGTGAGCAGGTATATGCATGATCCTGGAAAGGAGCATTGGCAAGCTGTGAAATGGATTCTGCGGTATATTCTGAACACCGTAGATGTTGGTTTGGTCTTTCAGCAGGACAAACAAGATGGTCAGTGTGTATTTGGGTATTGTGATTCAGACTATGCAGGTGATTTGGACAAGCGTCGATCAACTACTGGTTATGTGTTTACATTTGCAAAGGCACCAGTCAGTTGGAAGTCCACCTTACAGTCAACAGTGGCTTTGTCTACTACAGAGGCAGAGTATATGGCAGTTACAGAGGCTGTGAAGGAGGCAATTTGGCTTCAAGGGTTGCTTGGTGAATTGGGAATGGAACAAAGCACATCAAAGTGCATTGTGACAGTCAGAGTGCTATTCATTTAGCAAAGAACCAGGTTTACCATGCAAGGACGAAGCACATCGATGTTCGATATCACTTTGTACGAGAGATTCTAAAAGAAGGTGGAGTCATAATCCAGAAGATTCGGACCACTGAGAATCCTGCTGATATGTTGACAAAAGTGGTAACTGCGGTCAAGTTTAAACATTGTTTATACTTGGTCAATATTGTTACAAATTAAAAGATTGTTTTTTTAGAGATGTGTGTGGAATTTGCCAAGGTGGAGATTTGTTGGTTTTTGGCAGAAGTCCCACATTGGTTGTGTATAAGGAGGAGGGGAAATTCTTTTGTTATAAATAAAGCCCTCCTCCTCCTTAGTTAATCATCCCACAAATATAAGCCTTCTTCTATTTTAAAGGCTATTTGTATTCTTTCTCTCTTTGTAATATTTCCTCTATTAGTGAAATATTTTGGTGTTCTCTTTTATGTCTATTTAATAACTATTGTCGGGTATAGTTGTTGTTAATTATTGTCCTATTAAAATTACTTGTCTTGGTAGTTCTGTCTAAGGAAAGTGGGTTTTAAGAGGGACCATTGTGACCCCTCCTCTTTCCTGGGAATCTACCTTGGGGTGATTTTTAGTACAATCGTTTTCACACTAGTCACCTAGATAATAGTTTTCAAGGTGAATTGTTATTGGTGGAAATTAACCCAAGTTTCACAACATCAGTAACCGGCAATGATCTTGGGAATTAACGGCAATGCTAATTGATGTTTTAAGAAATGACCATCCAGCTCAGTTGGTAGAGCACAAGGTTCTTAACCTTGGGGTCGTGGGATCGAGTCCTACAGAGGGCATTTCATAATTCGAAGGTCTCCTACAGAAGTTACTCTCAACCTGATGTTGGGGGCAGCCTACTATCCTACCTCCCCCTTACCCCATTACATATGGGAATAAGGATCAGCAGCTAATTGATGTTTTAACGTTAGTGGATGAAGCTATAACAGTTGGGCTTCGATCTGATAAAGACCTATTTGGCGTTTGAACAAAAAATTAAGGATAAAACTAAATATTAACTTTTTTGTTAACTGTGCCACATCATCAATTTAAGGGGATGACAATAGAGTTACCAATTTGTTACAAATTGATAAAATCAATGATTAATTTATTATAAATTGATAATATTAGTGATCAATTTGTTAATTTTGAGACCAGTGGAGAAAACAACTCACTCAAATCATAGTTACCATTGGTGTAGTTTACCCTAAAATTATCTACAATAATACTGTTTGTCAGCGGTCAATGAATGTATATTTCTTAACGATAATAAAATGAACTTTGAGATTACGTTCTAGTCTAATTATTCATCTCTTACTAAATGCCTACACCTACAAATACAACCTCAGTATAAACTGATAAAGAGAGAGAAAAAAGAAGATCGGGATCAATGACCGATGAATGTGAACTCTTCAACTGTGAAGTCGAGGTACAAGTATGGGGTTTTGAATCTTGTACATCGCCTCTATCCTTGAACTTCATTTCCCAACACTTGCATAGAAACACAGTTTTTTCATACGCTCATCATGTTCTTCCTTTCTTGCTTTATGGCCTCGTATGATGTCATTACCTCTTTGAATTTTACCTCCGCAGCTTCTGAAATATAACACAAGGTCCCGGGAAGGAATATAACATTAAATAAAATAAAAAAACCCCCAAATCAATGCTGTTAAAATTTACATGCTTTTAGTACTAACTGTCCATCACATCTCACCTTTATTGTCCTGGTTCTGATCTGGGTGGAATTGTTTTGCTTTGGCCCTGAATGCGGCCTGTAGACACATAATTTAAATCTCAGTGCCCAGCATCACAGGCATGGTATGAAATCCAGCAATGACAAGAAATCAAAATAATCTCGGGTTCTAAGTTCTTTGATTGATATCACTCGATAAAAAAAAACCCCTAAAAGCTATCTAAGATGACAATGACAGAGACCGGCAAACTGTGAAATGAGGTGACCGGACCAATTTTGTGATTACGATGCTTAAACACAAGAATCCACGTACTTAGACTTTCAGATTTCTTAGTCTAAAAAAAATATTGTTCATTGATAAATTAAGATGGTTATTTGATGAACATTAACATGTACTAACAATCATTCTACCTTGAGAAGATCATGAATCAACTGGTAAAGATGAGCGGTACAGTGGATAAAGTTATAACAAAACTTTTGATAAAGATATACCAGAAATGTCACATGGTATAAAAATCGATGACCTTTATATCAAACTGAATTTTCAGTTTTAAAAAATGGAATATGCATTATACCTCAAATAAAAACATAAGCAGCAACGTAAAAGAATTATAAATATAACTCAGTATACCTTAATTTCATCTTCTGTATATGGTTGAGTTCTGCATCTGTGGAGAGAAGGAAGTTCAGAAATGTCAAATATTATGGTTGTGCATTTATAAACCATGTTACAGCAGCATTACCTGTCGAGACCTAAAACTGAGTAGTGATGTGATAACTGATATATCCTACTCTCTCTCTGGGATTGCCTGAAATTCGTTCCTTGATCTCCATATTGTCCTTCAGCCTTCCGATGCCAGTCATCTCTATATTGTGCTTCAGCCTTCCAATACCAGTCATCTCGCTGGGAGTGCTGATGATAAGGACCATGACCATACTCACTCCAGTTCTCATAGCTCCTTTTGTACCTATTTCGCTCCCTGTTAAACACACTTTGCATGCGCTTTATTCGCTCCTACAAAGAGAAACATAATTAGTTAACAATAAGATTATATCCCAATGGTATACCAAAAAGGAGATTACTATGAGCACGGCTAAATGCACAGCTCCCCAGCTTTTGAAATTGTTATAAAATATTAAGGACTAGGAATAGTAAGGCCCAAATAGAATGTGGGTATTTGTGTTAAAAGAAGACACGATTTGCACACAAGACTTGCAGCCCACACAACTTACATTCTCTCAGGTCTCTATTCCAATTTATCAAAACACAAACTTAAAAAAAAGGAGAAAAAGCATTATAGATAACTTCCAGAAGAATCATGGCACAAAATAGCCACATGAAGCTTGGGTACATCACCCAGAGATTCAAAATATCCCATGATACAAGTTTTCGTCATCATCAAGTGCTAAATGTTACAGCTTATCACTCCTTCAAAGTAAGTATATATCTGCCTATAACAATTACAAGTTTAAAACAACCTAAACTAATGCTTTGAAACCATGTTTCAAGATCTCTAGGAAGTAATATGGTAGTTAGATATAGAGGACGCTAACACGTAACCGAAACTTACCACTCTCTCCATTTCTTCCTCATACTCTTCTTGCATTCGACGATTATACCTTCTCCTTGCTTCCTCCTGAAAGGATGTTCGAAAAGAACCTCCTCTCTGAGATGATTGCGACCTGGCTAACTTTCATGGTGCAATCACACACATACTCAGATTGGTGAATATGAAACGAGAAATAAGAAACGCTATACTCAAACTGTTTTGAGGCATAAAGATAATTTTCAGTTTGCAAAAGGCTTGATTGTGATATCACGGTACTTCGCAAGATATCAGCAGACACAATAAATCCATATGGTAGTTCAACAGTACAGCAATCAAACATAATGGCAGCTGTCACAGTATCAAAGCAATAATTTTGGTTTCAAATAAGCCATAGAACTAAATCTTCCTCTTTAAATCAATTTATAGCTACAAAAGTAATCTTCATAGAAAACAATTGAAACTTTCTGAAAAAAATATTCCTTACACCAATCACCATCCCCTTTAAGAAAACAATGAAGTTACTGACAGCAAAGTAGTATAAGCCAAGATTTTTCCTCAAGACCACCACCATATCAAAGTATAGTAGCAGACAGTCATCTATAGCTGAACTGTGAAAGAACTTTTTTGTATACCTGAGAAAATATCCAATCAACAGACCTCCTCAGCTGACTTACCTGCCAAATTGCAACTACAATCAAAGGGATATTCTAAAAAACAGCTTGCTCAGACCAAGAGAAACTTTAGAAGCATCAATTGTTTCCATTCTCCAGAAATAAAAAGTAACCTTTCTTCTTAAATTAAATTTAAGGTCAAAAAATCAAATTATGTAAAAAAAAAACCAAAAGCCACGGCTTATTTGACCAAACGTTAAAATATTAATCCGGTTAACTAAAAGGTTGAAACATCAAAAGAGGAAACGGAAGAACTTACAGCGACAGTGGTGGCAGTGGCGCCAATTAAACCAAAGAGGAGAATTCCCCAAAGTTTGGGGTCTTCTCCTTTCCCTTTATAAGCTCTGTTTTGAGATGACCTACTCTTATCACTCTCAGCGTCTTCGCCTCCCATTGATATGGGTTTTCCAATTTCCAATGATCGAATTTTCAAAAACCGCTTCTCTTGAATTCAATTTTAATCCCAATACCGAACCCTAATCGCATTGTTAGGGTTTCTTCCGCTCCTCTCCTCTATTTTATTTTTTATGCAGAAAAAATAAAATTTTTCTTCTTTTCACCGCCGTTGTAATTTGAATTTGATTATGTCTCTAATACCCGATAAAGAGTTCAGAAACTCGTTCAACTTTGCGGCAAGGTACACGTCATTCGTCTACTGGATTGATTTGGCCAAAATCAGGCAGATATTGGGCGCGACTACAATGCTTAATTTTCACGTTTAGGAATCAAAACCGTTGGAGTGGGAAATCACGCGCCTTTTGATAAAAACCGAGATCCAATCCTGGCTCTTCCCGCACAAATGTACGTGTCCTTCACTCTATCATCTCGGTTAATAACAAATCAGTGTTACAGTAGGTGAGGGAGAGCGCGGAAATGAAGAGGGGATTGGGGGAGAAGGAGGTTAAGGGTTAGGGATTGAAGATGGAGAATTGGGAACCGGGATGCGAGAGGAGAGTGAATTTGGAAATTTAGGGATTAAAGCAAAAGAAGGAGAAGAGAGATATTTACTTTCTTAGTTGGAGCAGATCGAGTCCATGGGACCGGGGGGGGTTTCCAGTCCAGGAAGAGATGGTGTAGCCCAAGTTCAGTGGCCCAAATACCTATGAAGAGCAGATAACAATAGTTTGTTATATCTGTTGGATAGTACTGTCAGCTGTCATATATGAATTTACAATTCTAGCCTTGTAACTAAATAAACAATGGCTGAGAGATCTTTGATTCCTCAAGTAATGAATGAAGCATTTCTTTCGTTTGAAATCTCTAATTTTCTAATTCCTTCTTCTCGAATCCTTTCTATTTTTCTTAATCTATAACAATTGGTATCGAGAGCCTCGATTTCTGGCAAGTTTGGTGGCATGCCCAAGAAGAATCAGAACATGGCAGAAGACTTAGATGGGTTGCAGAAGCATATGGAAGAATTGACAGCACTGGTGAAACAAGGAAAAGATGAGTCTAATCCACCTAAATGGTGGGAGACTCAAGAAGAGAGGATTTCTATGCTGGAATCTAGATTGGCTACGAATCATGGATTTGTGGAGGAAATCTTAAAGATTCTGACTGGTAGAAAGGAGGATCAAAACCAGTCTGCTGGGGATCAGGTACAGACTCCTAACTCATCCAATATGAGTAGTAAACAACCTGTTAAGGTGGCAGTAATTAATGATAAGACTCGGTTTACTTATAACCCTGAAGAGCCTGGAATTCTTAAGTCTAAACCAGGGGATTTTCCTGTTCATTTGGCTAGCTGTAAAAATGACAATCTATTGGGGGAGATCAGTGCTGTTAGAAATCAGTTAATGGTAGTAGAGGTGGATAGAAGAGGTACTGGGGGGGGTCTTCCAACATGTCAGGGGTAATGTGGCATAAACCAAAAATTGAGCTGCCAATTTTTGAGGGAATTAATCCAAGGGGATGGTTACAAAAATGTCTTAAATATTTTTCTCTTTGTAATATTGCTGATGAGCAAAGAGTTGAAGTGGCTTCAATGTATTTAGTGGGAAAGGCTGAAATATGGTTTGATGGGTACATTATGCAAAAACATCATGTTACTTGGCATGAGTTTGAGGCAGACCTATGTCATAGGTTCATTGACAAAATTTTTGCTGATATAGTGGAGGAGTTTACAGAGTTAGTGCAAAAAGGGAATGTGGAAGAGTATCAGGACAGATTTGAGGAATTGCAGCCACATATGTTGTTATAAAATCCTACACTAGGGGAAGAATTTTTTGTTTATCTGTTTGTTAGTGGGTTAAGGGAGGATATTAAACACAGAGTTAAAGCTTTGGAACCTAAGTCAATATCTGAGGCATGTAGGCAAGCTAAGCTATATGAGCTGTCTTTGGAGTTTGAAGGTACAAGATTGAGATCAGCTTTCAGAAATTCATCCTACCCAAACCCTATATCTACTCAAAAGCCAACTCAAATACCAGTACAACAGAAGAATGCAGCCAACATATCACCAAATCAGAATTTAATGGATTATAGAAGGCAGAATAATTTGTGCTTCAAATGTGGAGATAAATTTGTTCCAGGTCATCAATGCAAAATTAAGCAGTTAAATATGATGATTGAAAACGATACTGTTCTACAATCAGACAGTTTTCCAGCAGAATTAGAATAGTAAATAGTGCAAGAAGAGGAAATCTTAGAAATCTCTATGAATGCTATTACTGGATGTATTGGTTATAATACATTAAAGATACAAGGAACAATTCAAGGGAGACCATTAAATATATTGATTGACATTGGTAGTACCCACAGTTTTCTAACTCCTCAGTGGGCTGATGTTGGTAATCAGATTACCACTCCTCATCCTTTGATTATTACAGTAGCTAATGGACAACAACTTTACAGTTCAGCAAGGTGTAATGGGGTGGAATGGAAGATGCAAGGGCACTCTTTTATACATGATTTTAGACTACTTCAGTTAGGGGCAGTGATATGGTATTAGGTGTGGACTGGATGAAACTGTTTAGTCCAATCCTAATGGATTTCAATAACATGACACTGAGTTTTGTATACAAAGGGGAGCAAATTATTATACAGGGTCAACAACAATCTAATTTTCTGCAGCAGATTTCAGAAGCTACCCTATTGAAGATGACATCTTCTGATTCATCTATTTTGGGATATGTAGTACTATGCACTATGTCTGATGGTTCTAAGAGTATTCCTACAACTATTCAACCTCTTTTGGACCAATGCCAATATATTTTTGCTGAGCCTACAGGTCTGCCTCCTACAAGAAATCATGATCATGCTATTCCTCTTAAAACTGATGTTGTTCCAACTAATTTAAGGCCCTATAGATTTCCACATCACCAGAAAATTGAGGTAGAACTGCAGATTGCTAATATGCTCTCCTCATCTATTATTCAACCAAGCAAAAGTCCTTTTGATTCTCCATGTCTTTTTAATCAAAAAGAAGGATGGGACTTGGAGGTTTTGTGTAGACTATAGAAAGCTAAACAACATGACAGTAAAGGACAAATTTCCTATTCCTGTGGTGGAGGACCTATTGGATGAGTTGCATGGAGCAGTATATTTTTCCAAAATTGATTTGAGGTCTGGATTAAACCTGAGGATATCTATAAGACAATATTCAGAACTCATCAGGGCTACTATGAGTTTAAGGTAATGCCATTTGGGCTTACAAATGCCCCTGCTACATTTCAAGCTCTAATGAATGAATTATTTAGTTCATTTCTTAGAAAATTTGTCTTGGTTTTTTTGATGATATCCTAGTCTACAACACTTCTATGGAAGATCATATTGTTCATCTCCAGTTAGTTTTGGAAGTTTTGAAGACTAATCAATTATTTGCTAAGATGTCCAAATGTTTCTTTGGACAGACCCAAGTAGAGTACTTGGGTCATATTATCTCAGTTTCTGGGGTTTCTACCGACCCTTCTAAAGTGACAACTATGGAGAGTTGGCCTGTGCCAAAATCTCTTAAATCATTGCGTGGATTTTTGGTATTAACAGGTTATTATAGAAGGTTTATTAAGGGTTATGGTACAATTAACAAACCCTTGACACAGATGCTTAAAAAGGACAACTTTAAGTGGACTAATGAGGCTTTAATGGCTTTTGAAAATTTAAAGCAGGCTATGTGTGTTGCCCCTGTTTTAGCATTACCATATTTTGGTAAGTGTTTTTATTTGGAAATAGATGCAAGTTCAGGAGGAATTGGGGTTGTATTATCTCAGGATGGAAGACCTATTGCTTATCTTAGCAAGGCACTTAGTCTTAGACATGTTGCCCTATCTATATATGAAAGAGAGTACCTGGCTATTCTATTAACAGCTTCTAAATGGAGACATTATTTAGAAAGCATTCCCTTTGTTATCAAAACAGACCATGAACCTCTCAAGTATTTATTAGAGCAGAAATTAACTACTGCTATTAAGAAAAAGGGATTGACTAAAGTGTTGGGGTTAGACTACTCTATTCAATACAGGAAGGGTAAATCTAATGTGGTTGCTGATGCACTCTCTAGACAGTGGGAATATCAAGGTCAATGTTTGGCTATGGGTACTACATTAATCATTCCTAGATGGGTGCAAAAAGTGGAAGATAGTTACAAAGATGATAAAATTGTTGCTGATTGGATATCTACATTAACAATCACTCCTAGTGCTGATCCTAGATGGAAGTATTCTAATGGTATCCTTAGATTTCAAAACAGGGTTTATATTAGAGCTACTGGAGCTCTAAGATTACAGATCCTTCAAACTCTACATGACTCACCTCAAGGTGGTCATTCTGGTACACAGGCAACTTATCAAAGGATTAAAGCTTATTTTTACTGGCCTAGGTTAAAGGCTATGGTGGCAACCTAGATAAGGTCTTGTGTAGTGTGTCAACAAACTAAGATTGAACATGTGGCTAAACCAAGACTCCTACAACCTCTGTCTATTCCTCATCAGGCTTGGGAAGTAATCACTATGGATTTTATAGAGGGCCTACCTACAGCTTTGAAGAAAGATTGTATTTTGGTGGTTGTTGATAAGTTTACTAAGTACAACCATTTTATAGCTTTATCACATCCCTATTCTGCTGCTGAGGTAGCCAAATTATATTTGGATACAGTTTATAAGCTTCATGGCCAACCTAAAATGACCATTTCTGATAGGGACAAAACATTCACTAGTCTTTTTTGGAAAGAACTAATGAAGCAATTAGGTACTAAAACCTTATTTAGTATTGCTTACCATCCAGAGACTGATGGTCAGACAGAAAGGGTGAATCAGTGTTTGGAGCAGTATTTAAGGGGCTGATGTTTTTTTCAACCTAAGCAGTGGGCTAAGTGGTTGTCTCATGCAGAGTGGTGGTATAATACTACCTACCACACTGCCTTAAAAATTACACATTTTCAGGCGTTGTATGGCTATAGGCCTCCTACTATGATTTGGCAGACAGACTCTAATGTACAGGTTGTGAATGAATTGATGAACAGAAGAGAAAACATTAGACAATTAATAAAGCTAGCAAGCAACAAGATGAAACAGAAGGCAGACAAGAACAGAACAGAGAGAATATTTACAGTTGGGGATTCAGTTTACTTGAAGTTACAACCATATAGACAAACTTCTTTAGCCCTGCGAAAAAATTTAAAGTTAGCTGCAAAATTTTACGGGCCTTACAAAATTATTGAAAAAATTGGTGAGTTTGTGTATCGATTGGATTTACCTGAATCGTCGCGTTTACATCCAGTCTTTCATGTAAGCCTTTTGAAAAAGCATATCGGGAACTCAACAGTCTTTTCCACCGTTCCTCCTGCAATGAACGAAGAAGGTCATATTCGAATCGAACCTTATAAGGTGCTGGGCAGAAGAATAATCAATAGGAAAAACAAACCTGTTACGCAGTTGTTGGTGCGATGGACGAACCTTGATGAAACAGATGATACGTGGGAGGATTATACCGTTCTGCGAGGATAGTTTCCAGGATTTGATTCTTGGGGACAAGGATCGATTCCAGCGGGGGTATTGTTACAGTAGGTGAGGGAGAGCGTGGAAATGAAGAGGGAATTGGGGGAGAAGGAGGTCAAGGGTTAGGGATTGAAGATGGAGAATTGGGGATCGAGATGCGAGAGGGGAGTGAAATTGGGAATTTAGGGATTAAAGCAAAAGAAGGAGAAGAGAGATATTTACCTTCTGAGTTGGAGCAGATCGAGTACATGGGACAGGGGGAAGTGGATCAACAAACATTTTCAGTCCAGGAAGAGATGGTGTAGCCCAAGTTCGGTGGCCCAAATACCTGTGAAGAGCAAATAACAATAGTTTGTTATATCTGTTGGATAGTACTGCCAGCTGACATATATGAATTTACAATTCTAGCCCTGTAACTAAATATACAATGGCTGAGAGATCTTTAATTTCTCAAGTAATGAATGAAGCATTTCTTTCGTCTGAAATCTCTAATTCTCTAATTCCTTCTTCTCGAATCCTTTCTATTTTTCTTAATCTATAACAATCAGCCTTAATTAATTTTCTTTCTCGGATTTACACTTCAGAAAATGCAATTAATTTAATTAATCATATTGGAATCATTTACTTTTTTGCAATTTGATTGGTTTGAAACAGAATAGTTTTACAGCAATAACGAAAAAAATACAAAACCATAACCTAAATTAATAGGCATGTCGCGGAGGCCAGTGAATCCCTCTAGACCTTATGGCGACGCCGGCGGCGGAGCTGCTCTCTTTTCTCTTTCCAAGCCTCGTTCTCCGCCTTTTGTCGCCATTTTTCTCACTGTCCTGGTACTTTTTCCCCTTAAATTATAGATTTTTTATTTAATTATGCTTCTATAAGTTTCTTCTTTTTTATTCATTATTATAATTTTCAGGGAGTATTGATTATTGTTGCGTATTTCCATAGCGGATCAGGTTTGATTTTCTGATTAGGTTCATTAATTAATCATTGATTAATCACTTAATACGATAATATGTACCAAATGTTCTTATGTTTATAAGCTGATGTTAAATAATTTTCCCCCTTTCAGGATCCGCCTTAAAGAACCTTGTTTCCAGAGTGGAAGGTAAAACTTATAAACTAAATACTATCATTTAAACAGTATGATATTGCTGCATATTTTCAGTCATTTCCTCTTGTAATTGTTTCGGATGCATTAGATTACTTGTCTCCAAGATATCTCAACAAGACTCTACCAGATTTTTGCACGGGTATCAGCAGATGGAGTCGTAGTATTTACAGGTAAAAGAAGATTAAGTTTTATTCTGATCCCTGAACTTGCAAGTCATATGTCATATGTGCTTGTCTATCCCGTAATGATCCTTGTTTGCTTGCTGATGATTTCAACCACTTGGTTTCCTATTTAAATTTAGCTTTTTATTTCTAATTATGATTGATTCTTTGACTGTTAAGATCTACAGCAATTCTTTACTCATTCCTTGCATTTTAAGCTGTATCTATGTCATAATGACCGGATTCTTCTCCATGTTCCACTTTTCATCGATCATTGTCCTGTTTGTGTTATGAAGGAAAAAAAACATGCATTAAACAAATGTGTTATATCTGATTACAAAGATATAATCTGAGCCTTTTGACATACCAAGAACTTTTATATTTGTTACAAATGTAGGTTTTCCAGGTCAGCGGAAAGCTAAAGCTGCAGATGTGTCCAAATATGGAAGGGCGGTAAGTGGCTGTTACTATCTTCATCAGTTACTGTTGCATAAGCCTTTTAAATGAACGAGTGGTATTGCGTGTTTCAGTTTCTTTGATTGTTTTTCTTGCTGAGCAGTTCTTCGATGTTCTGTTTCTGTAATATTGAAGCCTGTCATAAACAAAATGTGAAGGTTAAGATGCTATCCAGTCATAAATTTTGAGATTTATATGAATTATCTTCCCCTTACCTGTAAGTGGTTTTTGAGATAGCTGAACTAAACGTGACATGCTGAAGTGATTATTGATATTTGAAGGCTAAGCTGAGGAGCTCGACATGGTGGGCACGATACTTTGTCCAGACGAGCTTAGAGGAAAATGAAGTAGCGGCCAAGAAGTTCAGTAGTGCCGCAGAAAAGAGCTCATATACTCCGAATTGCCAAAATTTTCACTTGAGGTCGTACCACTGATTTGTTTACATGGTAATTTCTATTTCACTTTGTTGCAGTTTCATAGTGCAGCTGATAGTTTAAGTTTTGGTTAAAAATATTTATATTTATGTTGTTTTCGTTGGCATACTTTTTAATTCCATCAAATATTTGATGTATTCTTTAATCCATATTATTTTGAATCAATACATATTCTTCTTTTCTTTAATGTGCGGAGGGTGAAGATTGTTAACAGCAATATAACTTCGGTTCCCTTGCTTCTTGTTTGCATACGAATTTGAACAGCGGTCTCAACGTCGTATTATGTTGGCATTTTGTAATTTTAATAAATAAATGCGACGCAACCGATTGCATATATAACCAAACCCATAGCATATTTCCAAATCTAATTTAAATACTTGTTTCCAACTCTAATCTTAGAATTTGAAACATTCAAATAAATATCTTCTTTTTTCTTAGTTTTGAATTATAGTTTATTTTTTAAGAGTATGTTATGATTGTAAAGTAAAATTTGTTTAAAACTTTCTTAATTTATTGATAATGTACGCACCAGGTATGGAGTCAAGATTCTCCCAACCTTCATAGAGCTCTAGCCCTGGTACATACACCCTGCAGACCAAGAAATAACTTCTATTCGACATTTCCTGCCTTCAATGTTTCAAACAAGCAATTCCATGGTCAAATCCCTGTCGAGCGAATTGAAAACCCCAAATTCGAACGGATTGAAAATAAATTCTTCAATATTCAACATTTCTTAATTCTTTGGGCTTGAAAAAAGATTCCCGAAGGCTCAACATTTCCGAATTTTCTGGGATTGGAAACAGATTCTTCAATGCTGAACATTTCTTCATTTTATGGTAAAACTGATTTTTGCAGCGAACAAATTGAAAACCCAAGTTGAACAGTCAATTTCGTGTATGTGGAAGACATGAATTCCTGTAATTTGAAGAAAACAAAAACAATTTAAGACTGAATTGAACTTCTTTTGAAGACACAAAAAAAAAAACCCGTTAATTTTTATTGATAAAAATAGAAGATTTGAATGAAATGCTTACATGTAAAAGATAACATATATTATTTTTATTGTTTAAATTCGTATCCTAGATGATAGGAAGGATTTATGATATAATCTTCCTGAAATTAGGGTTGTTGGGACAAGATGACTTGTATTCAAAACTTATCAGATACGAAACCGGCGTACCGATTTGAAAATCTTCTTATCAATTTGTTTTTGCTTAACTACCGCGTATAATTGAAAAATTCTATAACACTCGACTATTTAAATATATTCAATTAAGTCACTCGATTATTTAAATATATTCAATTAAATCACTCGATTATTTAAATATATTCAATTAAATCACTCAACTATTTAAATACATTCAATCAAGTCACTCAACTATTTAAATACATTCAATCAAGTCACTCAATTGTTTAAATACATTCAATTAAGCTATTTGTCGTTAATATTTAACAAAGAAACTGATGTGACAGTTAAAATATTTTATAATTACACATTTGGTCGCTGATACTTATATATATTCTATCAATTTGATCATAATTTTAATAAATTAAAATAAACTTAACCTTCAAAGCTAGTAATAGCAACAAACAAATTACAAGCCAATTTGACTATGCAAATCGTGACTTTTTTTTTGAAATAGATGTACTTTGTATAAATAATGTTACAAAGTACACCACCTCAAGGACCTCTTTAAAAAACCTCCCTAAACCTATTTGGAGGAAAAAGAGTGTGCCTTGAGGTGGTTAATACAGAAATAAAGATCCTTCAATTACAAAATTTGATATAAAACCCCAATCCGACCATCTAAAGAAATTCTGGCCGAGCACAATGGAACCAACCCCCTAACAATATTTCTACACTGACTGTAACAATATTACAATGAGGTTGTAATTCAGCAGCCAAAAACAAACAGTGAAAAGCAACAGACCAACGTGCCACAACTAACAAGATACTAACACAGAGGCAGCAACCAACAAAGGCATCAGACAAATAGAAAAGCATCCGGACATCGAGCAAAATCCTGTATACATGGAAACTTCGCTGGCCACAAAAAATACATCCAAACTCCTATCTGCAACAATGTTATATTAAAGATTTGATCTACTGTAAAAACTTTACCCTCAAACCTAGAATTGTTTCTACTCAGCCATATAGTCCACATCAACCCGAAGAAACCGATGTGCCATAAAAACAGATTTTTCCTTCTAATTTTCTGAGAAAACCATATTTGAATTAGCTCAGTAACGTTACTAGGAAAAACAATATTGACTTCCCATACCTTACACCATCGTTTCCATACATGCCACGAGACATCACAGTGAAGCAACAAATGATTTTGATCTTCTATAAAGCAATTACAAAAAATGCAAAGCTGATTAGCGTTACAATCAATGCCTCGCTTAACCAATTCAGTAACCACTGGCAGTCTTCGATGCTTAGCTCTCCACACGAAAGCAGAAATTTTAAGCATAACATACTTGCACCATACCCAATTCCAACTAGGATCGTCCACTTTACCAACAGAATCCATTTTGGAGCAATAATCCTTCGTATTATAATTACCATCAGAAGAGCCTGTCCACTTTAATCTATCCGATCATAGACCATGACAAACAGCTATTTCAAGTACGAACATGAACTCCCTCCAAACATCCAATTCCCAAACAAATAATACTCTTCTGAGCTATATATTCCACTCCCAGACACTGCCAACCCAATGCCCAAATTCTGTAACACAACCAGATTTTTTAACCATAATCCCATAAATTTTCGGAAAGGCATCTTTTAAAGAGAGAAACTCAGTCCAAAAATCTGACCATAACTCAATTCTGGATCCATTGCCCAAAACACATCTTACCTCAGCTATGAAACCATCCCCATACAAAATTGTCGGATTAATAATGTCTCGCCACAACCAAGAAGATTTCCGATAATTAGTAGCTCTAGGCAAAATCGAATCTGGGATATAATTATTTCTCGCAACAATAATCTTTTTCCACAAACACTGACTGTCCTCAGAAAAACGCCAAATCCATTTATTCAGAAACGCTCTATTCCTAGTCTTGACGTCGAAAATACCCAAACCCCCATGAGATTTCAGATCACAAACATTAGTCCACTTGATCCAATGAATCCC